TGTCCAATCAAATGCTCTCTAGAATCCGAAGCACCCGCCCCCTACACTATAAAATAGACGCTGAAGCCTCGGCTGAAATCGGTCACTTGTCCACAGAATTAGTATTTTCTGTACAGTGAATGGCACGTACTATATAGGGGACAGGGAACGGTGTACGCTGTTGAATGGTAATTCTACACAGCATGCTATATTTTATAGCAATATGGATGAGATTGTGGCTGGCATACCCTGTCAAATGCGGCTTTACGGAGCTAAACGGCTCTAGCCCAAGCTGTGATATAAACGAACGCTATTGGAGATTTTAAAAAGGGGCGGGGCTGCTTGATATGTCCCGCCCTGTCTTCCTGTTTCAGTTAAAATGACGTCAACACAGAGTAACTCTGCGTGTTTCTAAGCATTTCAGGGTACCTTTAAGAATAATGCGTTTTAGAAAAACACAGTTTGGATAGGTTTTTAGCTAAGAAGTCTACATGTATTGTGTTAAATTATTGAAAGTAACATTAAACCAACAATGTAATGTTAATTATGATGTTATACTAGCAGTATTGGCAGTGCACTGTCAAACACTTGACAATTGATGGCAGCTACTAAAAACATAAAATATAAAACCCCTCACAAAATATAAATTAAAAAGTCACGACTCACCATCTCTGATGAAATACTTCATTTTCTTAGAGACAACTGCTGTTTTGTCTTTGGACTCCAAGTATGAGAACATAGTTGTGTCATCCCAGTCATCAGCAACTATTTGTTCAATTATAACAGACATTATTAAGGCAGTTAATAATGAACACTGTAAAGGTATGGGTAATGATATGTTGATGATCGTGATGTGACAAAATAATTGTGAAGGAGATTGCAGAGTGTGACCGTGACAGTGACAATGATATGGTGAGATGACAGATCAATATTGGCACTGGTTTGGGTCAGGTGATCATTAAAGGGCTACCTGGTGAGGAAGTGAAATCCAGATATCGCCTCTCAGAGCTCAGAATGAGAGGGTTGATACGGGGAACTACATTGGCCTGCTCCATTAGGAAGTCCACCACATCAACACTCTCAGTGATCTGACCCTGGATATGACAGGAAACGCCTTAGAACTTGCTAACAAATCACATTTAAAGGATTACAGTCAACAAATCACATCACATAGATGTATGCGTGACAAAAATAAATGGTCAAACCAATGAATTTGAAGAAACACAGTAAGAGATATAAAGCCAAAAAAGGTACCCAACCATAAAGACAGCTCTCTGGAAGAAGTTGGTAGTTTCCATGATTTTCTGCAGAAGAACCGTCTCTAGTTCTTCTGGGTCCATCTCCTCACTTCTGAGTGGAATACCATTGAACAGACCCACTGGTAAAGCACCTAAACCACTCTTTCTGTAAAACCCTCCTCCAGCCTGAAAAAACACATCATACTAAACATTCATAAAGGCACTGACATCTATTTCCGAATTAAATCTTATGTCCATGATTTTCTAGGAATTTTCAACAAGCAGTGGTTTATATTTAACAATGCTATGAAAACCATCTTGCCATTTTTTAAAGTTGTATTTCAATTATAAATATAGCTGCAAGCAGCGATGGCGGGCCCAAGCCATCAGTG